ACCTGTCCTACCTGTGAGTGTGAAGATTAACCTACTGGCTCCTTGATACATTTTGTTTTGAAAGAATGTCCTGGTCTATAGAATGAAACTATTGGCAGTGAATGTTTGGTAAATTGGTAAAATTCCAAACCCACTGTTATCAATACTACTGGAGTATCTTCTCTGTTCTTCTTAAACGAAATGTCTCATGGAGCCAGTAGGTTAATCTTCACACTCACAGGTAGGACAGGTTATGCATTTATCTGTCATTAACACAAAGAAAGCTTTTTATTTGCTTCCTGTATAAAGAAAATTAATACAACTGCAGTAAAATAACCTGCAAAGGAGCTATCTTAGTTACTTTGTGGGTTAAATTGATATGGTCTGAAGTTCAAGAGGACTTACGGTTGATGAGTAGGACCAGTAAGTAACTGTATTGCTGTGTGATCTCAGAAGTAGTGTGGGTACCATGGACTGGTTTCAGTCACCTGATGTTATTACTGTGGAGCAATTTAATGGCTTCAGAAACCAATACATGCTCTGGTAGTTAAAATGAGACATGTTACATGCACTGCTTTGTTAAGAGATTTTTCTTTGGAAAAAATATTGAAGAGGTAATGAAAAACTGATTTGAATACATTAAAATGGCCAAATCAAATGCAGAACTTATATACTGTGCCACATTCTTCATTTTGTATAACATTCTATTCTATAAAATGCATTAATAATATGTAATTACTATAACAGCACTGAAGTTTGCTATGTAACAAGGGAGAATGAAGTAGAAAAATGTTAAATATGTGTGGCTTGAGTGGTGGGAAGTTGCTCTGGTGATGCTGATTTTTTGGAATTGCTGATTGTTCTTGAAACTTCAGTTGTAAAGGTTTCCTTTCTGTTTTTTAGAAGGGCTTTATTGTTTCAGGATATTCAGTGGGTGAGTGAAGGATGTGCACTTTAAGCAGTTTTCATCTTTGGTAAGAAGTCCCTATGCATCCCTATGCAGAAGATTTCATTATATACATTTCAGATGCATATTTCATATGATGTTCCATATAGATTCCATTATTTTTCTTGTGGCACTCAATAACAAAATTATCTTAACCTGATTTGTGAGGTTGCTAGGTAGTAATCTTCTGTTATTGCTAGTTGTAAAGTCATGCAGGCCAGATGGTGTCTTCAGTTATGCTTAGACACAGCCTTCCCATAAGTGGCTCTGGAAGTTAAGGGGTTGCTGAAGTGTCAGCAGTACCAGTGGACCTAGACAAAGCATCTCCCTCTGCAACGCCAGTCACTGAAATGCCGGCTGTCCTGAGGCAGGAGAGAAACTCACTGCAGCACTGCCCCTCTGCTTAGACCCTATAATGAGGCCTGCTGGATATTCAACCTTTTCTGTTTCCCAGCATGTTCCTATGGATTGGAAGGGCAATGTTATGGTTTTTTTTTTTTTTTTTTTGTTCCTGCACATTTGCCCAGTAGCACTGAGTTTTATTGTCTTGATCTGGTTACACAGTTAATCCAAGCTTCTGTAAGGACTTTGACTTCACGCAGCCATAATACTCTGCGTAACTTGTTGGAGAGAGAGAAGAGCAAATGCTGAATATTTATTCCTAGTAGCCTCTGGGACAAACTAGAATGAGGGATAGCACTGCCTGATACGAGGAACTGTGCAAGCACTGTTAAGAGCTGAGGCTGTACCTTGTGTTTGTTGTTGTGAAGCCAGATGAATGGGGTGTGGGGAGTGGAAAGATGATCCTAGAGGATGCATGTCAAGTACACACACAGGTTAACATGAGAAGTGAGGGAGGATGGGGAGCAGTGAAGTGAGAAGATACCCTCCTCTCCTTTTGCTGATTGTGCTGAAAGCAGCCTGGGTGGTTGTCCAGCAGGACGTTCCTTGGTGCAAAATTTTCTGTCACGATGCTCTATGAAAAAGGGCTGCTGTTTCTGGGTGGAAAGGAAAGAAGGAAGAAGAAAATGTGGGTGGGCTGTGAAGGGTTGTGCCTTTGTGTGTTCTTTCTTGCTTTCCTTTTATTAATTCAGGTGTGCCTAGGGAGATGCTGAGTGGGTGGGAATTTGTGGTAACCCACAGTATTATGAATGTTTTGACCATTAAAAAGAGCATCTAGCTTTTTACCAGTTTTTGGCTGGTTAACTAACCACTGATTTGATGATCTTTTTCAGGTAAAGGGAAAAAAAATGGAGGGGAATTAAAAAAGATAAAAAATCTGTGAGGTGATGTATTATTTCTGTGTCTCTGATTTCAGAACCATGTGATGGTGGGTGGAATAGTGGCAAGGAAGTACTAAGCCAAATGCTCTGTGACCAATGCCTGCTGGCATTGATCTGAAATAGCAGAGAGCTACTTGAGTGCTGGAGATGCCTCACTTCATCTGCAGGTGTTTGCTTGCCAGGTGGAGCAAAGTGGATGATGTAAGAAGCATGCCAAAACAGGGAAATGAACTCTTCTTCTTTTTTGAGTATTTGTGCTCTTTCATTTGTTTGTGTTGGCCGCATACAGGAATTTGTACCTTTCAGCTGGACTTGAAACATGAAAGGGGAAAATGCAGAGATCTTACATTAAGGGTTTCAGGAATTCAAATTCTGTTAAATTTGACAATAGAACTAAGAAATTTAGCCTCAGAAGTGAAATTGCCTATAAGCTTACCAAGTTTTTTTTTCTTAATTTTTGCTGCAAAGCACTCTGTGTTGCCAACAGAAATGTGTAGTGTTTCTGTCTGCTGCATTCCCTGTCTCTGTAGAGCAATTAAGAAGGGTATATATCAAGTTGTCTCAAACAGTCAGAACATCCGTAAAATGTTGCCCTGTGGAAGTTCAAGTTAAAAGAGGTGGTACATTGGGGTCCACACTTCCAAAAGAGGTAGGAATGGCTAAGCTAAAGTAAGAGTCAATCTTGGCATAGGAGAAAAGGAACAACAGTTTGTTAGACTGCATTAACTTCCCTGGAGTAAGCATTCTACCCAGCAGGTCAAGTTGTCATCCAGTAGAGCCAGGACTAGGAGTGAAGGAAGTAAGATCTACAGCCTAACTGGGGTACTGGAGCTTCATGTGGATAGGACTAATCTCTTTTGAAAATACTTAAGTTGAAAGTAATTACTTGTTTGTTGCTCTCTCTCAGCCACAGGGGAGCATTTATCTTGATGAAAGAATATTTGCAGATATTCTCTCTTTGCCAGGATGCCAGGGAGTGTTATCCATGACCATGGTTTTTTAATGCTGAAGGAGCAAATTTGTCAGAGTTGTGTGGCCATTTTTCACGTTCTACTAGTAGACTTTTAGATACAGCCTTCTTTAATGCTGCTATCATTTTTTCATACATGAGTTACAAATTACCGTATTAAATAAATTAAACTGCTTATGCAAGCTGAAAGGCCTTCCAAATACTGTAAGGTAGCAGAGTAGCTTTAAATTGTGTGGATTTGATATATGTTTCTAACCAATGCTGAAATAACTATTCTTATTTAAAGGTAGTCTTAAAACTTAGTGCATAAACAAATTCTACAGTTTTATATAAATTAAATAAATTGAACTAATTGCAAATAGAATGAAAACTTGATACAAAGATAATTGTAATGACTGATGGTGGAGTAAATTGTCTACAGAGTGATTTCTTTTTCTTTCTGTGCTTACCTTTCCTTTGTAGCATGTATGTGTATCTACAAAATATATAGAGGTAGTTACATTTAAAAGTGTGCTTTACAAATTTTTACCCTCTCAAAACAGAAACTACCCTAGAAAAAAAACATCTATTTTTATTTTTAACAGATTAATTGTTCGGTACTGCTCCTGATTTTTACTGTGCATCCAAATGTTAATAATGCATAGTTTGCAGGTGGTGCTGCATTGAGCTGTGATTGAGGTGGATTTCCACTTTTAGGTGCCTGCATTTTCTTTCAAAGATGCTCATTCAGACGTACAGGTCCTACTTTCTTTTCTTTTTTTTTTTTTCCCTCCCTAATCCAGATGCTGTCAATGTCCTGTTACAGGGACAATGTAGTTTTTGTCTATAGAGAAACAGAAGGGTTTTGTATTCCTTGTTCCTTTAACTGAAGGCTCTTAAAGCATTGCTTATTGCTGGGAAGTCACTTCCTCATCAGCAGAGTGATTTCTGAAGGTGTGTAAGCAGTGTAGTTGCTACAGGACTGATGCCAGGTGCAAAGGTTGGGAGTGGAGACCTGGGTAAACCTAAATGAGGATGACTGCAGGTCTGAGAATGCTGAGGGTGCTGTAGGAAGAGGTCAGAGAAGTACCAGGTAAAGAAGAGTGGGTTGGAAGGAGGCTCCACGACTACCACTTTTTCCAAAGGCATTTGACAAATAATTCCCTAAAGAATTTTCTTTGCTTTTGCCCAGTTTTCACTACTTCCTTCAAATACTGTGTATTGTAATAGTTGCAAACAGGTATATTATGTGGAGAAAATTACATCTCTGCAGAAGGAAGGTGGAAAGAACTGTATGGAATAAAGCAACTATTAACTTGCCTACAATGTCCCGGGTTCAAACAAAGTACTTTGACCATACAAAAAAAAGACTTCATACAGAGCATTTATGTTCTCTTAATGCCTAGCTATCTGTCTTATACAGAAAAATTGCATGTAAAGTGATATATACTTGGAGCTTTGATTTACTTTCTGCAGGCAAGTTTCTGCTTCACAAAGTACTGTATAATTTTAATGGCAGAATTGGAAGGAGAGAAAATACTCTGAAGTCATGAATGCTGTTTTGCTCTTTCTGAAATCCTTTGTCTCTAAGAAAACATAGTTAACTCTCTTTATTCAGCAGCCATTTTTAATGGGAGACCCAGCCATTATAGATGTGAGAGTGCTGAGTTATTTAGAAATAAGAACTTTTCTTGTGGAATGCACCATACTCTAACATTTCAGAATAACTATTAAGTGCCCATATTTTATTTTTCTGTTTATTTGAATGTACATGTGCTTCAGTTCAGTTCTTTTAATATCTATTTCCAGTATTTTTTCAGTATCTCATCTTCATTTATAAGCTCAAGCTTTTTCATTACGTTATTTGCTGTTTACAGCATACTTCTATCAGATATTTACATTACAAGAGTGTCCTATTGTGTTGCATTTCAATTTATTTTTACTTCCTGCTTTGCAGCCTAATTTTAACAGCTGCTCTTGAGCTTCTAGTAACCTGCCTTCAAACTAAACATGTTCTGAATCAAGTTAATGAGTTGTTTCTGATATTCTGCAGTGCCTTCTATATTCTATTATAAACTGAGTTTATGGCCCTTTTGTATCAGGCATACAGGACTAGCTAAATTACTTCTTCTTGGCAAGATCATGTTTCCAATGAAGTTAAGGCAAGAATGAAGTGCCCAAGTCTTTTCCATGTCACATAATATAGCTGGGTGAAAAGCTAAGCAATAAATTTCCCAGGCATCTCATCAGGGCATTAACTCCCTCCATTACAGCAGCGGATGATGATGAGCAGTGTGGAGGTGGGGTGGTGACTGCAGGTACTTTGAGAATTCTGTTTGAATCCCATATGGGACAGAAATATTTTCAGGAACATCAACAAAAACCTACGTGTTGGAAATAATAGCTTGTAAGAGCTGCAGCTTGTATACAGTATGCTGTTTACAGAGTCTTTGGTGGAGAATAACATGTAATATAAGAACTGACTGCATCTGTTATTATTCCAGGTCAGAGTCTGGAGAAGGCACTGAAGAAGATGCAGGTACACTGAGGACTCAGAAAAAATGAGCCATGCATTTTTCTGAAAGCTGAGAAGTAGCCCTCTATTAGGGTCATGAAACTACGACAAGTCTTTGTGTCGCTACTGATGTTTGGAGTAGCTGGTCTACTCCTCTTCATGTATCTGCAGGCCTGGACTGAAGAACAGAATACAGGTACAGTAGGATTCTGGGTTGTGGATTTCTTGTGGTGGATTTTTTGTTTATTAGTTTTTGATAAAGTGATTGCATCCATGGCTTAAAAGGTGTTTGGGAAGTCCATTAAGTAACTGTGGAAAGCTCAAAGAAGTCCCCCCTGTGTGGCAGTAGAATGACATTGACTGATTTGTTTTAATAAAATAAAATATTTCATACATACATGAGAAGAGGCCCCCTAGGAACCTAATCATATCTGTTTCATTTGCAAAAATAAGTGTTATGAAAGCATATTGTGTGTATTCAAAGCCAAGTCCACTTCTGAAATTTTGTTTGATGATTTTGTGGGTGTGTGCTTTTTATACATTTATGTTGTGTGGAAAAGCAATACTCTAATGTGAACAAAAATGGTGACAACACTCATAAGGAATCATCCCATCCCAGTGTTGTTATTGCTAGAGATACTTAGATACTGGATTTGTGAACCTTTGTCATATGTCACATCAGTCATGTTGCAACTTCAGCTAAATGTGTATTGATACTGGCTCTGGGTTATGTTACTCCGTTGATTTTCTGTCAGCTTTTTCCTCAGCCCCTAGTACATGCTCAGTTAATCTAAAGTAAGCTCCCTGTAGTGTGTATGGGGTGGATATTTGTAACATCCTCATCACCCACTGTTTCACTTTGCCAATACACCTCTTTTGTAGCACAATATGCCATGATACTTGTTTTTCTTTCTCCCTCCCTAAAAATATGGTCTGTTCCCAGCTTGTTAAAAAGTACTGCCTATTATGTCCTCTTGCCTCTGTTGCTTAACTTCTTTTTCCCCTGTAAAAAATATTTCTTTAAAATATACTGATAATATTGTGAAGAGAGATGTTCATAGAACCACATTAGTCTTTTGGTTTCATTGATCTGTGTTTTTATTTGGCATGGGCTGGTAGGCTGTGGTAAGGTAATTCTGCTTAGCTCAGGGAAGGATAGCTGAGGATTTCTAATGCATTATTCCTGCAGTTACTTGATGTTGATTTTGAGTGTTTCAACAAAGTGCAGTGGTCACAATTTTGTTCGCTTTTAATGTTTCTGGGCTGATCATAAAACCATTAAATATCCAGAGTTGGAGGGAATCCCCATAGATCACTGAGTCTGTGCAAGACCACCCAAAATCCAAACCCTATGTCTGAGAGCACTGTCCAAGCACTTAAACTCTGGCAGCTTGGTGCCGCGACTACTGCTCTCAGGAGCCTGTTCCGTGCCCACCACCCTGTTGGTGAAGAAATTTTTTCTAACCCCCATTCTAAACCTCCCCTGACACAGCTCCATGCCATTCCTTTGGGTCCAATTGCTGTCACAAGAGAGCAGAGCTGCCCATCCATTCCCCTCATGAGGAGCAGCAGGTTGCCAAGAGGCTTCTCCTCAGCCTCCTCTTCTCCAGACTGAACAAAAAAGCCTCCGCTTGTCTTGCCCTCCAGGCCCTTCAGCATCTTTGTGCCTTCCTTCAGATGTTCTCTAATAGTTTTTGTCCTTATATTGTGACATGCTGACTTGTACCCAATGCTTGAGGTGAGGCCACGCAGCACAGAGCAGAACAATGCTTCCCCTCACTCACTTGCAGTGCTGAGCCTAATGCACCCCGAGATGTGGTTGGCACTTTGGGCTACTAGGGCACACTGCTAACCTAGGCTCAGCTTGCCATCAGCCAGAACTCCTAAATCTTGTTCCATACGGATGATAACCAACCTCTCATCCCCCAGTCTGTATGTAAATCCAAGATTGCCATGTCCAAGGTATAGAATCCAGCACTTGCTCTTACTGAACTTCATGCAGTTGGTGATTGCCCAACCCCTAAATCTGTCAAGTGCAGGGCCTCACTACTCTAAGGAGAGTCTACATCTCCCAGTTTAGTATTATCCACAAACTTACGTAGTACGCATGTTAGTCCTGTGTCAAAGTCATTGATGAAAATGTTGAAGAGATCTGGCCCCAGAAAACAACCCTGTGAATCCCACTAATGTATTTACAAGCGTATTTTAACAAAACTCTTAGAAGTAGTATAGGATCCCTTTGGAAAGGCTCCCATGTAATCAAGTGTTGACAAGAGTGTATTGACAGAAGCAGATCTTACAGAGTGAATCTTCCTTGAAAAATCTGTGCTGTTCTTGAGAATGTTAATGGCAGACATCTTTGCTTTCAAGGTAGTTCAGGAATGTAGATGATGTCTGTAGATTATTGATTTATTTACTTGCTGACATTCTTTACATTCCTTCCATCCTTTGTCCTGTAGTTAACCTTTCTTTCTGTGCTGTGCTCACTATTACTATTTCTGTTCTCCTCCTGCACAGTCTCACTTTCCTTTTCTCTGTATGTATGACTGTTAAGAAGAAATAGGAAAAAATAAAGGGCAAATTGGAAGATACTGTGTTCTTTGGGGCAAACAGATGCTTTCTTTGAGAATTTTCTCATTGATTATATTGCCATCATTTTCATAGAGTCTTTTTCTTGTTTTCACATGGAAATTATGTATGTATGTGTTTCAATAATAAAATAGGAACTATCAGAAAATAACACAATCATTCACGAGCTTAAAATATGATTGCAGTTTTGTACCCTTTTGTGTCAATGGACTCTTGTTCTGACAGCACTTCATCAGAATCCAAACAATGAATTTTGGCATTCTTTGCAGTAGACAGGTCAAGCACATCAGAAAGTACATGGGAAAAAAAAGTCATTCTTTGGTGTCTAGTCTTGGTTGTTTCTCTTCTAATTTAGAATGTAGAGAACTATTCTGTTTTATTTCAAACACCTGTACCTCTTCTAAGTATTCTACAGCACAATTCTCTAATGATTTTCTCCTCCTTTCCTTGGTGCTACTTAAACTTGCTACGAAATGAAATGTATTTCTGTATTCACATTATGCCTTGGTTTATGGGCACTTTCCACTCTTTTCTGCTGAGTTTTCCATACTGACAAACATTTTTTTTGTGAACTGTGGCATTTTTGGGGATGAGCTGTCTGGAGAAGCACAAATTGACAAGTATCTATATAAGGATTTTATATTGTCTTTTAACTGTGTCACTAGTTGCACAGCTGTAAGATAGCTAGACTTTTAATCTGCAACTATTTGATTTGATATTCTACGGAGAAATGAAAAATGTTCCTTGTGCTTCTTGGTTGCTATGCCATGAGTCTGTAAAGACAAATTTTTGTTGTAGTTGGAACTGTTTTCCACTTCTGTGGTGCCCTGCTCAAGACAGATAACTATCGTGTTTGCGTTTGGTTGGTGAAGCAGAAAGTAGTTAAGGTTTGACTCAGCACAGGAATGCCATGTCTTCCGCTCCCTCCTGCAATGCTTGTGCTCCTCAGGTTAATTCTAATCATGGTTGTCATCTCTATCCCTTTAAAAAAAAAAAAGAAAAAAAATCATTCTGAAAAGCAGCTCCTATCTCTATAATGGTCCTTTCTGGCTTTTTAGAGAGACATTAGCGAACTGTGATAAGAGATGAGTATCTTGGTTTGTCTTTGTGCGTGGAGTGTGTAGAGACAGGATGATAAATCCACACTTGGATGTCAGAGCCCATTCTGCTGGAAGTCATCAGTTCACCTCCTTGCATGGTAGGAAACAGACATGTCAAGGGCAATTGGAGATATGGGCATCAACACCTACATATTATACCAGGCTAACATCACTGACATCAACATTGATAGTGTAAAATGTACTCGTGTGTTCTGCCTACAACATAAATGCAAATATTTATTTATATATGTTCATAGTCAGAAATGAAATCAACTAAGTGCTACTGATTTACTGGACAGTTCTCTATACTGTTTTATGCTCTTCACTAGGGGAATTAAATACTGTGTCACTGATTTAAAAAATAAAAAAAAAAGCAGCTACTATTTGTTCCATGCTTAATAATTTCTGGCAGTGTAATCTCAAATAGGGGAAGCAAACTAATGGGTCTTCCAGAACTGAGGTAGAGTTTTATATTATGAATCTCTTCAATTAAGACATGTGAGTGTGCATAGGACACTTGTGTTTTAACCCAGCTATGTTATAGATGTGAATATACTTTTAAGATAGGTTTCTGGTATTGTACTTTGAAGGCTTATGTTTTTGGAGGCTCATATGATTTACTGTGATTGGCTAGTACAAAATTATCATTGAGTATTTTTGTGAGTAGACTTATGTGATGAGTGCTTTGTTTTCTTTCTTTTTCCAGTAAATGTATTGGAATTCATTGTTGTGGAGTGTGCTTATTAACTTCATGCTTATCTGGAACTATTTCAGTGTTTCATGAGGTGCAGTATGACTGCTAACTCATCTGGAGAAATGCTGTGCTGTCCTTATCACTCCTGAGGGTAGGAAAGTCTGCCTCTTCTTTTTCTCAGCAGCTGTTTCGCCTTAGAATGTTGGTTTACTTGTACATGCTTTCTTCTTCCTTTGCAGGGCATAAGTGTCACTACATTTCTTTTGAATTTGCCTACAATTTTTTGCAATACTATATGAGTGACTAGGCAGTTTTCAGCAGCCTGCTTACTTTTCTGACACTGGAACATTTTGCCCTTTGAGCTGCTGAGTAGGCTCATCACTCTGACTGCATTCCCATTCCTTAGGCTGATGCATTTATTTCTATGAAGAATTTGAAGAAGCTTTACTCAAATTGTCATTAACAATCTCATTCTAAGAAAAATTTGACATCTGATAAAACAGCATGAATTGTGTCACTTCAGTCTGCTCTTGGTAGCTATCCAGACCGTATCTGTGCTACTCAGCATGAAGGTGAGCTTTTTTTTTTCCTTGCTTTCCTTCCTAGCCTTGGTAGCTCAAGATCTCTTGGTAACTCATTGAGATACTTTGAGTCTATGAAATTTCTTCCATGTCTTGACATACTAAGTAGCAGTTGTGTGTGTGTGTGTGTGAATGTGTGCAATACACGGTACCATTTAGTCTTTGTGCAGCTGATTTTTTTTTTTTTATATCTTTTTTATTTAAACTTCACCCAAATGGAACAAGATTATGG